TCCATCGGAGGGGTCGGGCGGCGAGGCCAGGACTCACCTCTCCCCGGCAAGGTCCGTCTTCGGTCCGGTCTCCTCCGCGGCGTCGCCGGCTCCTCCTCATCCACCCCAGCAGGAAGTGACCTCTCCGGCTGCTGTCGTCACTTCCATCCTCAGCAGACAGGGCGGGGAGGAGGCGGCGCCCTCCTCGCGGGTCTCCCGGCCGCGCCTCCCTTCCCGATCGCGGTCCGCGGACGCCGACTTCCGCCCGCACTCCGCCCCCGGCGCCGCTCCGGCCCTGAAGCCCACGTAGTCGCCCCGTCACGCAAGCCGCCCAGGAGCGGCGCGTGCGTCACGCTGCGGGGGCACGTTACGCACGCTCACGGCGGGAGGCCCTGCCCAGTCGCGGGCTGGTGTGTGGGGCGGCACGAAGGGTGTGTGGCGCTTGACGGCCAACCCCGCACAGGCGAGGCGCGGCCCCTGGGTCGCGGGAGCGGGGGTCGCAGAGGCCCCTGGAAGGGCCGAGGCGCCGGGATGAAGGCCGCCGCGACCTCCCGGAGGAGCGTGTGCGCAATGGGCAGAGGACCCCAGACTCAGGGGGCGTTCTCTGCACCCCCCACCCCTTTCAGTTACTGAGAAACGGACACACGAGTGTGACTGTGTCCACCTCTAAGCAGCTTGAGAGTCCACCTCAGTCATTCAAATAACGTCTACCCCTTCTTCTCCCTCCACCTCCTGTTCCCGCGGAAGCAATGGCGAGTCAAGTGATGTCTGTTCCAAGCATGTCTGTCTCCCTGTCGGGCCCCGGGGTCAAGGCCCCCGAGCGGCTCAGCTGTATCTCTTTCCCCAGCCCCCCGAGGGCTGAGTGGTGTCCAGGCTTAGTTTCACCCCCGAGGCAGGCAAAAGGGAGAGTGGGGGTCATGAAAGGTTAAATGAGTTAGGATAAGGAATACAAATTAGAAGGGAAGAAGAAGAGATGGAATTGAAGAGAATCGGAACAACACTTTGGGACAGAGCAGTCACCTTCGTCTTGTACCGTTGTTCCAAGAACACGCGCAGGCCACCGGGCACGTGGAGACGGCAGGGTAAGTTGTTAGGAAAATTCTAGTTTGGGGTTTGCTCCTGGCCACTCTCTAGCTGTTGATAAATTAACCAGCACGTTGGGGCCCTTCTGAGCTGAAAGTTGCCCGTTTAGAAAGAAAGGGTAATAGCATCGGTGATAGATTCTATCACCAATGGACCTAGTGCCTTCATCAACGAGCTGTGTGACTTTGGTTAAGTCACCTAACCTCTCTGTGTCAACTTCTCCTCTGGATGAGCATAATATCCATAGTATCGACTCAGGTGGTTGTATGGAATGTGTTAATACATGCAGAGCGGTTAGAGCAGAGGATGGCACGTTGTGAATATGGCAGACGGACAAATGTTGGCCAAAAAAAAAAAGATAATTAAAAATCATTACATTAAAAAACCCTCAAATTTTCATACCACCCAGGCACGTCTTAATACTTGTGTCAACTTGGAAACCAGGGTGAGCAGCTTCTTCTGCTGAAAGTCTGAAGTTCCTAGCCTTTGGCTCGGGGCTCAAATTGTCATGGTTCGAGCCAGCACTTACCCTCCAAGGACCCTGTGTTTTGCAAAGAGCCAGAAACCAGCATATAGGGACTCTGTATGCATATTCTTATTCGCTCCCTCCCGTCTCCCAGCGGTTCTGGGCTGCAGCTTCTCTGACTAATTAGAGTCAGAGAGGACACCTTGAGTAAACACAATTAACAGAGGTAAACAGGTCTCTCTACCTGGCTGGAGTCTGAGTTGGTATACTGGGAAATGTTTCTATGCCAGAAGAGCTCAACTTAATTTCTACATTAAGAATCTAATCCCTGCCCTAACCGATTTGGCTGAGTGGATAGAGCGTTGGCCTGCAGACTGAAGGGTCCCAGGTTCGATTCTGATCAGGGGCATGATCCTTGGTTGTGGGCACAGCCCCAGTAGGGGGTGTGCAGGAGGCAGCTGATCGATGTTTCTCTCTCATCGATGTTTCTACCTCTCTATTCCTCTCCCTTCCTCTCTGTAAAAAATCAATAATATATATATATATATTTTTTTTTTTTTAAAAAAGAATCTAATCCCTGACCCGAAACTCAACAGGCCGATTTGGGTTAGATGAAGCAAACTGGAAATTCCTTCCCAATTGGTGGTTCCAGATAAATGTGTTTTGCACTAGGAGCTTCTGTGATGGTAGTATCTGGGGAGATGTGGATAGATGGCTGGGGACTGCTTGCCCGCTGTCTGCAAGGTCCCTATCCGCTATCTCCTTTACCACAGCACTGTTTGCCTTCTTCATCTGCTGCCGACGGGCTTTCACAATGCGGAGATTCTTCTGTTGCTGGAATAGGGAGAGCGTGAGCTTTCTGAAAGCCTGGGGGTGGAAACACTTAGGCACAGTCTAGGAGTCAAGACAGGTTGTAATCTCTCTTGAATTTCCACTTGCTCAAAGCCTTCTTTGTCCACTGACACTGCCCTCTGCCCCACTTCCAACCCATCTTTATAATTGTTCCATAGGCCTAGGATAAGTTTCTGTTCCAAATCTCCCTCTCCCAACTCGGCTCTTGATGCAACACAACTACTCCATTGCTTCTGAAATTTAAAAAAGAGAGAGAGAGAAAAAAAGAACATATAAAATTAATGTTACTTTAAAAACCCTTCCTGGCTTGGTGTGTGTGTGTGTGTGTGTATGTTTCTTCCCTGGCTCCCTCTTCTGTTTCGCTCCTCTTTTCATTTAAGAACTTATGTTTTCCATATTCCAAACTTACCTGGCCATATACAGGGGTTGGCAGAAGTAGGCTTACAGTTGTTCACATGAACAATTACAAATTAGTAAATAATAATACAAGGATAAACTCTGTGTTTCACATACTTACAACTGTAAACCTACCCTTGCCCACCCCTGTACGTGATATAAATGCCTTCCTCTCTACCCTCCTGGTAGATCACTGTGACTGATTTACTGCAGCAGGTACTGTTTGTGTGTCATGTGTATCTTTGTTCTTCTAAGTGTGTTTGTCTTAGATTGCAGGCTCTCAGAGCTCAGAGCTGCAGTCTGGAGATCCCTGCAGTGCCCAGGGCAGTTCTGTGTCATCACTGGAAATGCCTAATGATGACCATTTCCTTTTCTGTGCCATTCGGGCATATGTGCTACTGGCACCGGCTACTTCCCACCTCCCTCAGTCTCCTCTAAGTCTCCCAGCAAAAAGCTGGTCGCCTCTTTTCCCTAAACTGTGTTCTCTTTGAACTTGGATTCCGAAAACCTGAGTTTCATTCCTACTTCTGCCCTTTGCTATCTCAATTTTCGACAAGTTGCTAAATGTCTCTGAGTTGTGGCCTCCTCACCTTCATCTGTAAAAGGGGGACACTGTTGATGTCCTGGATGAGGACAGAGTGTAACCGCGGTTGTGGAATGCTTGTCAAGGATGAAACCCTTTTACAGAGGTCAAGGATCATGATTACTCTGGCTGTCACTCCAGTCCCTACACTGTGGTTGGTATCAAGAACTCAAACTTTGCAGCAGCTACCACCTCATTTCATTAACTTTGAGTGGATTTAATGTTTCAAACTTGAGTAGGAATCTAATGGAAAAAGAATTTTGCCTTGAAAAATGGGGTTCTTGAGTTTTCCATCTAGGCACTATTTTATAAGGCCTACCAAGAGGCAATACATTTCAATCACGCGGTGCCTCAGTTTCCCTATTCATAAATTGTCTGTGAGATTGTCAAACTGCAGCGGGAAGGCCAGGGAGGGTTGGGGGGCAGGAGGGAAGGGGGTAAGAGATCAACCGAAGGACTTGTATGCATGCATATAAGCATAACCAATGGACATAAGACACTGGGGGGTAGGGGAGGCCAGGGGATTGTCAAGGGCAGGGAAAAAAAGGACACATATGTAATACCCTTTGTAATACTTTAAGCAATAAAATAAATAAATAAATAAATAAATAAATAAAAATTGTCTGTGATAAGAACTCCCAGAAAGAAAAATACTGTAACATTAAAACATTATATTGATAAAGTAAAAACTGAAGAGTGTATTAAAATTGACTGATTTCTTCCCTTCCGGTGTGCTCAGTGGTTAGAGTGCCAGCCCTCACACTGAAGGGTCACAGGTTCAATTCCTGATCAAGGGCAGGTACCTGGGTTGCAGGTTCTATCCTCCAGATTTGGTCGGGCACCTGTGGGAGGCAACCAATCCATGTGTCTCTCTCACATCAATGTCTGTCTGTCCTTCCCTCCCTCCCTTCCTCTCTCTTTAACGATGGACAGGAAAAAGCCCTAGCCGGTTTGGCTCAGCTGATAGATCGTTGGCCTTCGGACTGAAGGGTCCCGGGTTTGATTCTGGTCCAGGGCACATACCTCGGTTGCAGGCTTCGCCCTGGCCCCCACCCTGGTTAGGGCCTGTGCAGGTCGGGGCATATGTTTCTCTCACATCGATATTGCTCTCTGTCTTTCCCTCTCTCTTCCCCTCTCTCTAAAAATCAATGGAAAAATATCCTCGGGTGAGGATTAAAAAAAAAAAAAAAAAAAAGAATGGATCAGCACACACAAAAATTGGACTTATTTCTATGCTTTGTGACTCAATTTTCCCTAAAGTGAAGGTAAATTATAATAAGAGAATAAGCTTTTAGTAAGTATTAATTGCATTTTACCACATTGGACTTGAGAAGCTCATATGATCTTGTGTTTTGGTTTATTTTTCCCATCAGCTCGAGGTTGTTGTGAGGGTAAAGGACTTAATGTCAGTAACATGTGTGGGGATCCCCAGATTAAAGGTTAAGTGAGTCCAAAGCAGAAGTAACTTTGTCCACCAGAAGGAGCAGAGAGGCTGCTGTTTATTCAGCGGTGACTTGGGGATTCAAGGACTCTCCCGGATTCCACGTCCATTACAGTCCACAAATACCCCTTCCTCTCATTTCCCTTTTTTCGGTCTTGGTTCCCCCATCTCACATTGGTGCAGTGGAGACGTTAGTGGAGAGATCACGAAGGAACAGCATGGGACAGTATTTACTGAGGAAATGGCCACGTAAGATAGTTGGCCTTTTTTTTTTCTTTTTTTTTTTTTCCTGGCAGCTTAGGAGCAAGGTTCCCCTAACCAAATGTTTGATTGCTAGAATTTATATATTTCTGAAGGCTCACTTCTTCCAGGAAGCCTGCTAAAGTTAATTGGAACAGGGGGCTAGCTTCTTTTAACTTATGTAGGATGTGTTTTTCAAGGTCCTGTATTTGTTCCCTCCTCTTGTAAGACCTGAAACCTTGACCTGTTTGCCACGTAAACTTTTTGCTGTCT